AGACGCAATAGACTAGTTCGAAATTTGAGCTAAACTCGTCTATTCCACTTTCGGCACTGATGACGCTTACACTACCTGTACATCTAAGTAATGTTACAAATTACACATCAAACAGTAAAATGAAATACTCCCCAGCTATGGGTTAAATAGTAGGACTTGTATCTGTAAAAAAAACATTGTTAATGCAAAATTCTCACGCAAAAAAATATTCTTACAATCCAAAATACAATTCAGCTTAAATAACTTACAAAGGCTTAATACGTCGGTAAAAACAAACAAAAATAAAATACACACTTACTTACTGCCGCATCACGTTGAAACACCGAAGTTAAGTAACGTCGAACGTGGTTAGTGTCTAGATGGGTGACTGCTTGGGAATATCAGGTTGTAAACGCGGATTTGCGGATGGTGTAATGAATAATGGCTCGGAATTGTTAATTGGAGCGCCGAGTTCTAATTCCAGTTGGGTTCGTTATATTTATTTACACACAAATACTCTTGGGAAAGGTATGAATCCACTTCTTCTCCCCCAGCTATGGGTTAATTGGTTAAGACGTGTATCGCTAGAACCATTATTATCTCAACAAAAAATGCGTACAAAATAGATTTCGGCATTAAATAACCCACAGAGGTGTTGATATGTCACTTAACAAAAACAGTCAACTAGCACACCTACTTAGTAGCACCAAGTTCTGATTGTGATATTTTATATGGCACAGCATTATATAATATTAGAATAACCAGGTTTGCAATATAAAATGATCCAAATATTGAACACACCGTCTTAAGTTCATTCTGCTTTACACTGACGATCTGCCGAGGAGCATTCTCAAATCGTTCGTAAATACGTTTTGCAGATGATACCACAGCATATTGGTGCACCTACAACAACCAAGGCAGCTGATCACTCATCTGATCTAGCTCTAACAGTCCAACAGAAAAAATGGGTTGTAAATTTCAATATCTTAAAATCGAAACTAAAAACTTTTCATAATTACCTGATCCTGTCCAGATGAAGGGTTGAAGGCTCGTTGTTTGTATGTCTACTGCTACACATTTTCACCCCCATATCTCAAGTTTTACATGTAAGCGATCTATCGTTAAAGAGGACGAGAAAATGGTCAGAATCTTGTACCTGTCTCCTCCTGTTGTGCTTTATCATTACAAGAATCAGATCAGTCCGAAAAAATGGAGCGTAATTGCCATATTTGGGTTGGAACCGGTTAATCCTCTCTTTCCAACCCTGATATATTTCCACCAGCAAACCCGTTTCCTACAGAAAATACTTTGTTAGCCTCTCGCTGCTCTGTCGCTATTTCCATGGCAAATGTTCAGACAAGCTACATTCTTTAGTTCCGCCAGTTTTGATATTCACGTACCGCCTATACAGAGGTGAACCATTATTATTTGGTTTGTAGTCCGTTGGGAAGAAGACAGTTTTGTCCAGAAAGCTTCTTCCCAAGAGCCGCTACTTTGTGGAACAGACTCCCGCGATGATATTTCCCCGATCACGGCAATTTTAAAATTTTCAAATCTCTGTTCTTCTGTTATCTATCCTACATATTTATTTTCTAATTTTTTGAATCGGTTTTATCCCATCGTAAGGAGTAAAGTCACTAAGACACAAGAGGTTTACACGGTGTGGAAGAATTAGGAACAGAAACATTACTAATGAGCGGGAAGAGGAAAGAGTAATCAGGAGATCAGTAGATTACGATTGACATTGCATTTAAATTTTTGCAGATTAATTTTAGCAGGAAAGGATGGAGCCGGAAGGAATTTTCACAAGCAAGAAGTACGAGAAAAGAAACTGTTAGCATGGAACTTATGGTTACACCTATCCAACTCAACTGTAAATTGATGACATCTCGACGCCAGTATCGTACTGCGCTTATGTTGAAATAAATCTCTATGTACCATAGCTAAGAGATCATTCGTACAATTACCATGAAAATATTTACAAAAAAGATACAGAGTCAAACTTATATTTATAATCTGCAATTATAACGCCCAGAAAACAACCACATTCAGTAACGGTTTGGTTTGGTTTACGGCATATCAATCTGAATGGGTTATTTAATGCCGTCAATATTTTATTGCTGATATGTGTTCTTCAAAAATGTATTGCTGGTAATAATTTTTTCTTGAAAAAGTTATTGCTGGTATTGAAACCTATTTTTACAATGTCATAGTGTTTTGATTCCAGTTTGAGGGTTAGCAATTTGCCTATAGCGGGGACCCTAACAGGTGCTACCACCTCGGGTCAGGATGGACCTGGGAACACCAGCAATTAAGAGGTGGTTCCACGCTCTTGAAAACCTACTGATCAAAGGCCTTGCTGTTTGACGTAGTTTATATTATTACCCAGGACGCGGACATAGATTATCGTATGAAGTGTTCGGTTCGAAATTTCCAATCACCTGATGAAGGCCGGAGCGTACAACGGCTGGGACGTTGTGAAAATGGCAATGAAGATAAGGATAAAAGTCCAAATAATGTAAATAATGCAAGTAATCGTAATATCTCATCTCAGAGATATAGACATATATTTACTGTGAATTTTGAATTAAGGTCCGATCTAAAATATTCTAAAACCTTATTGTGTAAAGAAAGATGAACTTTACACCACTTATCATCTTTTAAAGTTTTTGTAAACTTTAAAAAATGATACGTGGTGTAATTTTTTGTTCTATTAAACGAAAGGGAGTCAATGTTGCTTATTTTTATTTTTTTCTCTGTGTTCCTTCTGCGGTACTGGTTAACTAAAAATTTCTACATTTGCCTTGATAAAATTCCTCTAGGAACGAAACGCGTTGGCATAAAAGGTTTTCCTCTTTTCCGTGTGAATTTCTCGGATGAGGAATTATCATTTTTACCCTAGTCGGCCTAGTATCTTCATCCTTGTTGTTGTTATCACAACGTTTCGGTCGTTGTGCAACCCCGGCCTTCATCAGGTGTAACCAACAGAAAATTCCAAACTGAAGCCTTTATTTAATCTATAGAATTAGACTGTTCTCCTTCCACTAACCATATCTAGGGATATCACGTCTAGTTCTTATTTTTACTACTGTTTAATTATTATTCACCAATTTTCACTGAGTTTAAGTACACACGGCCCGGCCCTAGGATTGAACTCACAATTACTAGGCCACCAAATACATGAACCAACGCTTTAAGTGGATTAGGCTTAAATATCCCTAGAAATGAGCAAAAATGGGTAAAATAGTCCGAATGTAGATGGTTTTCCTCTTGTTTTACCTTTTTTATATATTACTTTTTATATATATATATATATATTTATATATATATATATATATATATATATATATATATATATATATATATATATATATATATAAGATTGTGTATTTTGGCAGCAATCCTTTCATACAAATTTCGTTAAAGACGATTGACAAGCCACGGCATTTAAGCTTTTTATTTAATTTTTCTTGTGTTTGTACAAGTGTTTTTCCAAAGTCTGTAAAAACTCTCCAAATGTTCTGCATATCCCAGCGCTTTCGGCTATTCTTTTATCCATTAACAAGGACAATTTTTATTTTTTATTTTTAACTGAATGTATGGGATTTTTTATGTATTTATCTGATTTTTTTAATGTATTTTTCACATGCCTGTTAAGGGACGGTCTTCCTGATCAAACCAAACTCGTTAATAATTATATTGGTCATACCACTACATGCCTATTTAGACGGCTCACGTTACACTTATCTGACCATAGCGCAATTAGGACTCATTTAAGACACATGGAAACCTACCGCACTCCATTCGCAATATACTAGTCGTAAATACAAGTACAGTGTAACCCGGATATAAGAGAGTTGTCGGGACCGGAGAAGAAGTCTCTTATATCCGGGTTTCTCTTATATCTGGGTTTGGTCTATTTTGTTTAGGTAAGTATGGGACCAGATAAAATCTCTTTTATATCCGGGTTTCTCTTATATCCGGGTCTCTTATATCCGGGTTACACTGTATAATAACCTCATCCATATGTAAAAAAGATTAAAAATAATGGAAGCACTAATAATAAAAAAGAAAAGGCCAACACTCTGTAACATTAACTATGAACATGACCACAACGTTCTGACCGAGTTTGTAAAATAAAAATTCCTATAACTTCACATATATACGTTAATACCTCTAACAAAATTGATAATATTAATAATATTGTACGTCGAAATAAACATAATACTATTAACTTATACTATTTTAACCAAATGCATAATAATTACAAACATGATGAAACAACACTCAAAAACATAATAGGTAGAAATGTTAAAGCCATTAATAATAAATAAGTTAAGCTTATCATATTTTATAAAAATTTAAAACAATTGACCTCATTTATAGTCCCTAAAAACTCTACAACCACACAACTAAATCCTCTACAAAAATCAATGTAGTATATCAATTTACATGCCCGTTCAGAGATTGTGTCTCTGATGCTAATAATAAACCCGCTACATATATTGGTTTTACTACAACTACACTCTCTCATAGACTTCTCTGTCACATTTATGATCTTAGTTCTATTAAGCAACATTTCTTAGAAAACATAGCCACGTACATAATATTTGACAGATATTAATTGATAACACAATAATACTTACACATATACACAGTAAAAAGAACCTTCAGATATTGGAGGCCATTTACATTAAAACGAAGCAAGCCACATTCAACAAAATTACATTTCAAACTAGTCACAACACATTACATTGCATCTAGACATATGGTTCTGTTGTAATACTTCGGTCTATTACATAGTATAACACCATAGAACCGAGAGATTGGGAGATAATAACCATTTACTGACAGAAGTCTTACTAATTAACTCCTAGCTGGAAGTGGGGAAGAGGTGGATTCATGCCTTTCTCAAGGTTATTTCCGCGTAAGTGAATAAAACGAACCAGACTGGAACTGGAACTCGGCTCTCCAATTTTCAATTTTGAGCCGTTATCCGTTACACCACCCTCACATCCAGGCTTCCAGCACGCGGTATTCCCAAGAGGTCACCCATGTAACAACTAACCACGTTCGACGTTGCTTAACTTCGGTGATAGTACGAGAAGCACTGTTTCACTGTGATATGGCCGTAAGCCAAGGGGGATATAAACTTAAATTCCAAGGGAAAGTGTCGAAAATGGTGGAACGCTAAATTCTAAAATTTTCGGATTAAATTTGTGGCTTTGGGTCTTGACACGTCGGAGGCCAAAAATAAAAATTTTAAAATTAAAATTTAAAACTTAAAAACAAATTAAGCTCCAAAATTTACATGAAGTCCTTGTAGAGACTGAAACGCGATCCACAGAATGTTTCCAATTTGTCATTACGGATAATCGAGGATGTAGAGTATTAGACGTAATAACTAATAGGATTTCGGTTATTGATTTTGTTTAGCGAAGAATGGAACAAAATACCAACTAAAATTTGCAAATCATTAATCGAGAACTACAAGAGGTTGGTTGGTGTAAAAGTGAATAATGGCTATTTTACAATTTTATATGAAGATTATGGATTCTTTTTTTCTATTGTAAGAATAAATGCATAAATGGGATTTATTTCTATTAAATCTAAATCTTTTTCTGTTTTCTATACATATTTAGTTATGCATCTGTGTAAAGTTAATTATATGAAAATTATGTTCATTCATTAGTCGGAAATACAATAAATTAAAAAAAAATGGTGTGTAATAGATAATGTTCTTTAAATTACGCAAAAATCAAAATAACATTGTCTCCTTATTTTGACAGATATATTTACCAAAATGAAACAAAAATAACTTGAAATACTAAACAGTAAATTTATTCAATAAATCAATTGGCTTCAATCATGGCCTCCAGGGGACATCGGAATCTCCTGCAACTTTTCTGGACGGTTTCTTTGTATAAGTTGTTGAATGCTGCCATAATACTTGCCTTCAGTTAAGTTCTGGTGTTATATGGAGTTTTGTTGGTCTCTCACTCAACTGCGCCTCAAACATAATAATCAAGGGGGTTGCAAGTCCGGGGAGTTAGGTATCCAGATATAAAGAGTGATGAGGTCAGAGAAATTATTTGGTAGCTATGATTGGGTTCTCCTGCTTGTGTGGCATGCTGCAGAGTTTTGTTGCCAGACATAGGTTCTACCAGCAGCCACCCACTTGACCTAGAGCAGCAGTCCCTCGTCAAGACACTTGATGTAAGCCCCCGTCTTGAGCCTGAGGCCCTGTGGGGAAGATGAATGGAAGCATAACGTCACCATCAACACCTTCGTAATAACCAATTGACTTATTTAACCTCTTTCTGAATTCTCAGCACTGTCCTCAGATTGACACCCAAATACTTTGAAATGTTCGTCTTGGAACTTCCGGCACGAATACCAAGCACTACAGTATAACATTTTCTAGATTTTTCGTGGAGTAAATTGCGCCATGGTGTTCTTTTTCTTACGGACGGCGACCAACTGACCCTACTATATTGTGCAGTCTACAAAAACAAACAACACGCATGCGCGAAATTAAAAACACAACATGGCGACAATTTATCCATCGCATTATATATATATATATATATATATATATATATATATATATATATATATATATATATATAAAAGACTCTCCCGTCGAATTCGACAAATGTGGGTCAGGTCAAGCAGATCAGTTCCTAGGAACCTACACCAACACATGAGATTTGATTATAGTGGTGGAGGTTTTCTGCAGAACCACCAGGCCAAATACAGAGACTGGTGCATATAAATGCCACAAGGTCCCCAAACGACCCTCTGGCTATAGAACCCAGTCTGTCCTGCTATTTACCCATAGCTGGAGGGAGAAGTAGAGAATTCATACCTTTTATATATATAGCAACGCTTTTATCCAATGTGCCATGTGTCTTTGAGAACTTTCAGAGATGAATTAACAGGAGATAAATGATAACTGACATCCATTAAACATGGCACGTGGAACTAGGACCGTCTAACCTGGTGAGCGAAATAAAGTGTTCAGTTCGACATTCCAACCACCTGAAGAAGGCCGGAGCGTATAACGGCCACAACGTTGTAATAAATATGGCGACAAAGATGAGCACAATAGTCCGAATAATGCAAATAGTGTACATAATACCACATCTCAGAAATATAGAGAGATTCTAACGAAAATACAGAACATAGGGATCCTAAATTATTACCTTATTTTTAAAAATAATCTCAACGCAAACAAGTAGATAATGCACCTAGGACATGATGGCGGGCTACAGGGAGTGAAAGAGAATGAGAAGACTTTAGTGAAAAGAAGTGAGGAAAAGAACAATAAAGGAACAGGTTTCAACAAGACAGAAGATGACGATTGACGTTGCAAAGGGTGTAAGACAAGGATGTGTCTCCTTACCGGACTTATTCAAACTATACAGCGAGGCGATTCTGAGAGAACTAGAAGTCCTACCAGAATTCATTATTGGCGGCCAAAATCTTAACAACATAAGGTATACAGATGACACAGTGTTG